TAACTTAAGAATATAAGAAAAGTTACAAATCAGAAGATGCTAGTTTGTCCATCTAGCCTGTAATAGGTAATTGATCCAAGGGACTCATCCAGCTACTTCTTGAAAGAAGCCAGGGTATTGGCTTCAACAAGTCAGGATATATTGTTCACTATTCTCACAACCCTTAATGAAGTGCCAGCAACCCTGTATTGGACAAAGCTGGTAGAAAATGGATGAATTTATTATACAATAGGCTGTAAGTGCAACTTCCCTGTCTGAGTAAACAGCAGCTTGTCTTTTATGAGGAATGAATTGGGGACCTGCTGCAAGGGTCTAGATGAGATGGCTGGAAAGGTGCAAAATAACTGTTACATATACAGTACATAGGATAATTGAAGTAGGGAAGATAAGAGAACTTTCCTCTTTTTTTACTGTTTATTTAAAGTCCTTTGAAATATTGTAAAGCAATTAATATTTCAATATTGGTGTTAGTATCCTAAAATTACTTTTTCTTTAAAAAAGCTTGTTTTCAGTGATTAATTGCAAGAAATTCAACTGCAGATGATGTATAATTTACTTCCATGGGAGTGCCTGGACATTTCTTTTAAATCAGTTTTCTGCAGTTTGCTTTCCTGTTGAACTTTCATTGACTTGAGTGGTTTACATATAATCATTATTTTAAACTGTCTTTTACAAAACTGTTACAGGAAGCCAAACAGAGATTCGGAGACTTTTCAGACATCCACGGATGTAGACTAATTGTGAAAGTGCAGTTTTTAGTTAAAATAATCTCTCATTATTCAGCCAGATAGTTAACCACAGTCTATATGTTATATGGAGCCAGGCCACCTTTTGTCTTTCCCACAATCAACAGCAATAAACAAGTGGTTCTGTGTTTTAAATTCACAGCAAAAAAAAAACAGTATTTCACTCCAGATATTTAGTTATTAAATTGGAATTGGTGGTTAAACCTTTTATATACCATATCTGGAATACTCAGTTGGTAATCAGTCCAACTAGATTTTGTCTAGGCGGGTTTTAAGTGCACTATGAAGAAATCCCTCACTGGCAGAATACACTCTGCCAATGTTAACCTAAGGACTTTTTTTTTTTTTTCCCATAACTTTATGCCACATATCTATTTTAGCATGCTAGAAGTACTACTAGTTATCCCATATCTTTTCAAGATTTTTTAGGCAGGGAAAATAAATTTTGTAGTTTTTTCCCTCGGTTTGTAGTGAACTTATATTAAAATACAAATGAGATTTTAAATAAAGGTTTCAGCTAAAACATAAATAATGACCAGCTCTCAGATCTGGGAAAACAAAATATAAAGAAATCTGTTTAGCATTGGAACTAGGGAAAGTCTTCTCAAGGTTAAATTCTTTCAGCACAGAACATTCCTTTAAGCCCAGGAATGTGCTGCATCTGGTCTGATTCCAGAGCAGCAATATCTCTGCTGCTCTGGAAGTGTAACATGATGACAAAAAAGTTGGACAATACTGAAAATGTAGTCCTACTAGTGCGTTGAATAATTTGAACATTACTTCCTTTAATTTATATTCTACGCTTACATAGCAACTTATTTCATCTTTGTGTTTGCTTTTTTTATTGCTTCCCCACACTTGTCTACAATGACGTATTGACAAAAATATCTAAATATTTTTATTTAAAAAAATTATGAAAGGCTATAAGTTGCCTTTTAGAGCTCAGTGTTTCCTACAGTATTTTGCGTCTATAGTTTATCTTTGCTCCCAATGTGTAATACTCTGCACTTATCAACTGAAAACATCATCTGCCAGGTGTTAACCCGATCTTTAAATTCATCACATTTTTTTGTAAATTCCATTTGTTGTTTCGACAGTGTTTGCCAACTAATCGTTCTATTTTGGTATAATCTGCAAACCAATCTATAGAAATACCAATAATACACGTCTTTGATGTCAGCAATACAATCCACTGTGATATTTTAATACAGACAAGCTCCATTGATCACATTAAGCCATTTTAAACACTTACCCCATACACAGTACTTGTTTTCTGTTTTTTGTCCATTTACCAATCCGTGATCCACACACAAGCATTTTCTCAAATGTTTAGTACCAAAATGAGGAAAAATATTTAAGTGCTTTATTCTTGTTTGCTGCATTTTTATGTTATTAAGAAAGCAACTTGAAGGGGAAATGTATCTGTAAATTCACTGTTCATTCACTAAAGGGTCCCCTTATCTGCAAAAGTTACATTTTGGCATGTCAGTGATGTGAGTAAAAGATGTGAGAGAAAAAACATGACAGAAATATACACTCCAGACATTGAAAACCCAGAAAACATAATTTAAAAGATAATGTATAGCCTTCTATTAAAACTTCACTTTATATACTGTATACTGAGAGGCATTAAAAACAAACAAAATACTATTGGTGCCAATATCCATTTTTTGTATTTTCATGTCTTTCAAAATACAGTGCCTTGCAAGCACTTATACTACTCCTATACTGTCCTATTTTGTGAAATTACAAAATGATGTTTTATCTTTTAAAACTTAATACTTTATTCAACACCTGAATGCTCAATCTGAAGACTTCTTAGAGTAAGATAAATTATAGCAAATGTAAACAAAAACTAAACAGAAGAAACTGAAATAGAGTAAGTTCATTGCAAAAGTATTTTTGCAAAAGTATTGAGCCCCATGAATTTAATACCTACTGTACTGTAGTGGTAGCACCTTTGACAGCAATGAAAATTGCAAATCTTTTTAGGTAAGTCTCTGCATACCAGCTTGGTGCAATGCTTGCCCAATCGTCTGAGAAGAGTTGCTAGATGATCGCTTATGGACCTCACACATACTGTATATCTTGACTGACTGGGCTGCTTAAGGACAGTTACTTTTGTCTTCTTAGGCCAGCCCAGTGTCGGTTTTCTATTGTGGTCTGGGTCATCATCCTGCTGAAAGTAGAATTTTTTCACAGTTTTAGGTCTTTAGCAGATTGAAATAGGTTTTCTTCTAAGGTTTGTCTTTGACATTTTGCTCCATCTACAGTATGTTCCCAACAGTCTTGACAAGCTTCGTGGTCCCTGCTAATAAGAAACAGAACTATAACATAATGCTGCTAACACCACCCTTGACTGTAGTGTTGGTGGTGGCTGAGTAATGCACTATGTTGTGATTGCATTAGATGCTTTGCATATAGACCAAAAGGTTCCAATCTCATATTCATCATCTATTTCTGCTTGTTGGCAGCATCAGTTAGATGCTTTATCCCAAACTCCATGCAGGATTTGAGATTTTTTTCCCGGTTACCCTTCTCTTGGCCTGTGTCTTTCTAATGAAATACACAGTACCTGAATTGGTTAGAAAGGTTCTTGGACTTCATGGTTGAATTAATTCACTACCAGGTTTTTGTTCTGAAACTGTTAGAACCACTGTTCTTGTACACAGACAGAGGACGCTAAACTAATTACGTGGCTCATTAAGGTAATTCTGTGCACCTAAATTATTTAATTTGGTATCCTACACCAAAGGGTTTGAAAATGTTTCATTTTTGCTTTCAAATCTATTATCTATTTATGTCTTTCTTTTTGTTTTCTGCTTTGATTGTGTGCTCAAGATTGTGCACAACACAGATATAATTTGTCTACCATTAAAAACTGTATACTGTAAACACTCATTGATATCATTGAATGCAGAACAAGGGCATTTTTACTAGTATTATTACTAGTAATATTAATATTTGTAATAAAAATATTCCTATTTTTTGTTTTATTCCACTGAATGTGGAATAGTTCTTTACAAGTTGATTCAAAGCAAAAACTCCAGCATTGTGCAGGAACAATAAGGATGGGTGGACAAGATGCTGCAATTTGCAAACCTATTGAGACATTCAACACCAGCTCAACAGTGACTGGCACTAACTGGAGGTCCCTCCCTAGTGCTGGGAAGTGACTGCTTGCTAACAGCTGAGGGAGCTCTTGCCAGCCAATTCTGACTCTACTACTGTACCACCAATGCTGCCAATTGTGTGCAACCACTTGGGGAATCCCAAGAAGAGTAAACTAATGACAATGCTTGTCTAGACAAACACATAATGTTTAGGCCAGAGAGCTCAACCGGAACTCCTATTGGTTCAGGACAGTGCCCGAATTTAGATTTTATTTTTGGAGACTAGATATTCTTTTTTTCTCTGTATGGAATGTACAATTCTCATATATCAGCCTACTGAATTAACATTCATCCACCCCTTTTCCATCCGCTTTATCCAATATAGGGTCATGTAAGAGTCAGAGTGTATCCCGACAAGTAATGGGTGCAAAGCTGGATACACACTGGATGGAGTGCCAGTCCATCATAGGGCACACAGGTACACTCACACCAGCGCCAGTTTTCCCAGAAGCCAATAAACCGGCCACCATGTCTTTGAACTGTGGGAAGAAACTGGAGCACCCAGAGGAAACATATACAAACACAATGAGACTGCACAATGTCACACTGCACAACATAGCACAATGAGGTGCTATCTGCACCCTAGGAATTGAACCCTGGGTCCCTGCACTGCGACACTATTACCCCTATTATATTCATCTCATATTTTAATTGTAACTTTTCCTATGGATGAGTAAAGTTTCAGTTATTTATAAATACCATATGAAGCGAATGTCGAGTGCAAAATCATTCTAAATCGAAAATTTGGTTGTGAAATTTGGAGAAAATTTCTGGTGGTCATAATGCTTGTGTCGATGTCAGAAATAAGAGAGCAAACTTCACTTGCTCTTTTTGGCATCTTTAGGTCTGAACAACACACATATCGTAGAATACAAAAAGTATCATTTAAATAAATTCAATGAAGCTGAACTAGAAGTTAAACAGATGTAATTCAAATGTCTGACTATCTGGGCATATCAGCTTCTATGTGTGTTGTCTGATGCTAAAAGAGAACTTCAACTGATCATGAATTTTCAAAACAATAGATTTTCAGATTTCTTTGGTACACTGACATGGAATTAAAGAAAACCGTGTTAGAAAGTATGTAAAAATATTCATGTTTTTAATTATGAAGAAGCAGTCTTTTAAATGGTGTTATATACAAATTTCAGACTAATGAAGAGAAATACTATTCACATAATTCAAAGTCCTGGGTACCTATACTGTACAGTACATACTGTAGAAGGAAATCATACATTAAATAATTGTTAGATCAAGGCAATGGAAAGACCAGACAGAGCAGTTACAAAGTCATAATAATACCAAAAAAAAAAATGCATCCTTTAACATCAGTAGGTTCATGCTTATAACATTGAATTAATGCTGTTCTTTTTAAACTGTTCTGTTTAAACAGCTATTCAATACCTCTAGAAATATTGTTACCCACTCCTAAAAAGTATGATCTTTTAAACTTGTATATCTTTCAATAGCCTATACATGATATAATAATTACATGTGAGCATTCACACCCACTTTTGATTCATTGTATTCACTTGTATTTGATTCAAGTAAAGTATTGATCAGGCTATAAAGAGCTGCTGCAGTGACTTCTTAATTCTTATAAGCAGCCATCTAAACAGCAATAGTTGATAGTAGTTAAATTAGTTGATTTCATACTGAATTAACCCTTACAGGACTGTGGTCCTTTGACACCTGTTTTATGCTTTCTGACAAGTTATTCCAGACACCTAAAATTCAGGAAAGTTCACCCAGAAGCAATGCATAAAAGTCTCATATACAAATGACCTCATCTTTTTTTGTATCTCAGCCTGGACGTGCTTGACTCAGACCAGTGAAACATTGCAGCTCCTGGTGAGAGCTTTACATTTCTAGCTCTTTCAGGACAACAGCGTGTGTCAGGACAGACACCATAATATTCCAGATAAACTTTGAGTGGGGAAACTATAATGATAATGGACCTGAAAGCTCAGTCTCTGACACTGTACGTTTGGAACTGGAGGACCATTTGTACATTGTGTTCTGACTTACGCAGCCCATTAACCTAAAGATTCTTACCAGATCATGTCTGAATCGCACACCAATGAAGGCATACAAGATTGGATTCAAACAGCTGTGCATGTATGCCAAGCTCTGCATTATTTGATGTGCAATGTCAAACTTCATGGAGAGGTCACAGTCAGTGATGGTGACATTGGTAGCGTCTATGGCCTTAACTACCAAAGCACCATTGTAGGGAAGCTGGGAAAGAATAAAGACAGCTACAATTGCCAATATGACTCTCAGCGCTTTGTGTTTTTCAAAATTTTTAGCTTGCAGAAGGGTCTGCACAATCACAGAGTAGCAGAACAGCATGACAGCAACAGGAATACAAAAGCCTACACTGATTTGGATGGCAAGGACAAGTATTTTGGTGGAATTGTTATCAACGCTTGGATAGACCATTTTACAGAAAGATTCTTTGCCATCGTAGTCTTTTTTGTCTTGGGCAAAAATCAACTCTGGCAATGAAAGGGCTATAGCGCACAGCCAAACACCAACACACACCAACTTGCTGTAACAGAATTGCTTGAATTTGAAGTTCTGTGACTTTGCAGCTCGGACAATAGCAATGTACCTGTCAACACTGATACAAGTCAGCAAGAGCATGCTGCTGAAGAAGTTAATTTTGTACATGCCGGACACAAGTTTACACATCACAGTCCCAAAGCTCCAACCACTGGTGGCTTCTGATGCCCAAAAGGGCAGGGTGAACAGGAAAAACAGATCAGCAATGGCCAGGTTCAACAGATACATGTCTGTCATTGTCCTCAGTCTGTGCTTTATGTGGACATATATAGCAACAACCAGCAGGTTGCCCACGGCTCCAAGCAGACAAATGATCCAGTACAGTGGGGGTTCGTAGTATCCACGGAATGCCCTGACGCGACTCTTGTCACACATGCCACTTGGGATGTCCTCAGGCGTGGTTCCATCGTCATAATACTCATCGGTTGAAAAAAACTGAAATACAAACGTACAAGATATGAATGTCTGTGTGGGTGGAAACAACCATCGCCTGCCTTTTCTCAGAAAAGTTTAGCTATAAAAATAGCTATGATTACCAACTCTTTTGTTTAAGAAGTTTCTCTTCCTTTCATTTTAATTACAGTACATACAGTGCACGGTAGCCTCCATAACTCTGCACTCAATGTACTCAGTGTGTGTAAGACATCTACCCTGTATGCCTCTTAGACACTTTTAATGGAGTTCAGGATTCAAGCATGAAAGAGAAGACCACAACTTTCAGCTTCTCTTTATAAATATGTGTCATTAAATCTTCCTTGCCTACATTACTACTATATTTCCAGCATCGCCAACAGTGTCTTTAGACGTCCTCCTTCATTTTATTCTATATGGGAGGTTCTGACTTCATCCTTCTCATGGTCGGTTCTTCATCCCTTAGCCAAAAAACATTATATGCCCTTGTCATAATCACATAAATAAATTAAGATGTGTGGGATATTGACTCCCACCTAAAAAAAAATTCTGATTTTGTAAACTTTTCTGACTGCACATTTTGTGCGGACAATCATACAATAGTTTTTACAATGTTCTGTAAGCAAATTAAATCATAGGACTGTTATCAGTTTCTCCTTAGCGTGATTCTCATCGCTCTGTATCCCAACATCTGATTAAGTATGTGTGAACAGCAGGGTATTTCCTGCACATTTTTCAACTGTCTAGTCATTCTTAACTGTGTTAAAGATTTGTGGTCAACTACCGTTACTCACACTAGAAAGAAACTAGAATGACTCAAATCAGAATGATTGACTGATAGCTATGACTGAAATCACTAACATTTTGTCTACGTTAACAGTCGTTACTAACCAAAACCTCAGCTTGGCATTTAGTTTTGATCATGCGCACAACTACTCATCATGAGAGGGTGTGTATAAATATGTAAGAGGATATTTATTCATAATTAAGTGATTAAAATACATGCACAAAAATAGAAATGTTGATTTGTCATATTGATGTTTAATTATGGCTTAGTTAGTAAGTATTTTTGTTATTTTCATTACTGAGTGTAACTCCTCATGCTGTTAGAAAAACGTTTGGTATATCTAACTCCTTCTGATTATCAACAGAAGTGCAGTGCAAATTGTTTTTGCAAATGTTACCAAGAGAGTCTACTGAGGTACAAGACTGCAAACAAAGGAAACTACTGCAGCAATGAATTTCACTATTACAGTTAGAAATGGAAAAACAAATGTTTATCTCGTGTTCAGATTAGATGTGGCCCACCCACGTGCAAATGATTACGAAGCTAACTGTATGTAAATGTTTGGATAGGTCACCACAGCTTCTTTCATCGCATAATTGTGATACAGTATCAGGCACTGGGTACATTCTTCAGTACCCTCTGACAAACTCATCTCCCCCCTCCACTCTTCCCCCTTCACTTAGGTGCACTGCTTGAAAAAAACCCACGGTCTTTACCACATCCCTCTTTTCTACGTTAGGCATGTCTGATTGCTTAGCAACGGTTCCAGCACAAAGGAAGACACATAACCTAAATTATTAATTTAGTGAGTGCTTGACTGTTAAAATGGGGAATTTTTGTACCCAAGCAACACAATTACAAGACATTGACATAAAAATAAGCGGCTGCCAATTCATATAATTGATGTTTATTTCTATAAACCTTCTGATTCAATTTTAAAATGCCTGAAAATCACTTAAAAAGTGCAGCCACAATCCATTCTTTTTATGCATTATGGAGTTTATCATTTATTTGCTCTTGCTGAAGAAGTGAGGAGTAGAACTGCTTGAAGAGACTTTAAATTTGTCTCCATAATTCCCATAGGTATTCTTTGCAATTTCAATTCAATTTCCATTTCACTAGTCTCCTTGATGAGCACTAATTGTAAAGATGAAACACCTGCCAATGACTACTAATTTTGATTTAGACCATGCAAAAGTCTCTTTAGATGGTTGCGCTGTCTTAAGTGTAATGAAAGAGTAAGGGTTAATTGACATTAATTCCTATTATATGTTGTATCTACAGTATACTGTCCATGGTTGTTAACTTTGACATTATATTTGATGTCTATTTAGATCTGCATTGCAATGTTGTGAAATGACAGAATAAAGATATATTCCTTACAAGACAGATACAGTAAGTAGGTACAGGGACATACAGTACAGAGGTTAATTTCACCATGAAAAGTAAAAAGACAATAATGGTTTGCCTGTGGAGCCTTCTAGAGGTGATCTACACACACTTCAAGAAAGCTCCTAGGAAAATGTTTTGTTCATTTTTCTTTTCACTTCTGTGTGTGCAATTCACTTCTACTTGTTCTGTCCAGATCACATGTACACTCTATCTGCACAAAGATATATATTGTAACACATGCGGCCGCCACTGCAGGTTGTGTGAGCCGGCTTGCCAGCGCAGTGACGTCACCACCCTTCCCTGTGAATAGCAGGGGCCTCAGCCACCAGGCTGACGGGAGATCTCACTTTAGCTCAGCTGGCTGCTTCTCTGTTGACTGATGCCGGAGGACTGGGTTCGAGTCCCTAGCGGTGGGGGGCTGACCGTGGGCAGCAGTGGCGAGGGTCCATACCCACGTAAACCAGAGAGTGCTACACTATATATATTCCACCACCATTGACTGTCATATATTCTGAAATGCAACAGTGGTTAATACTCAGCTTCTTAACTGCTTTTCTGATCTTGATGTGTTTCACAGGAATAGAACGCTAATTATAAAAATAACTCTGACACAGGAGCTACTGTAACACAAACAGACCGGAAGGAAGTCAACAGAAAAAAACTAAGAACACTGCTGGAAATTAAGTGCATGTGTGTCCACTATTTACTATAACATTAAAACATTAATGGGCATTTATTATATGTGTTTATGTTATTGTTTTATCTTGAATTATGTGTAACTCTAAACATAGCTTCCTATTTAAAACTATAATCCCCAAAACAGTCCCAAAATTGATACAGTACCTGCATACTCATTAGTCTTAAACCCATCAAGAAAGCAAAAAACATTAAATCTTTCTTTCACTTGCATTGCTTTGGTCTTGACTTCTTTATACTTACATCTTTGGGCAGTCCCAAGGTGAATCAAAGGATGTAAGTATTAAGGAGATATAATTATTTTGCCTAATACATAAATGCATATACAAACAAAGAAGAGTTGCATTGGCTGCAATAAATACTTGCATTATACTTTTTTTGAAATTCTACACTATTGACCTTTCCATTTTGCTATACCCTTGCAAGGAAAAGGCAGAGACATTTTCTGCCACTGCAGAAAAAATACAGTAGGTACTATACTACTCCAGCTTTGTCTTAAAGGAATACAATTCACTTATTTTGTGACTAAAACTTTAGCATTATTTTCTTTACTTCTGCTGAGATACCTGGCCGTATTTTCAGGAAGGATTGAGTTAGGCTTACAGGAGCCAGAGCTACTGTGGGGAACGAAAGTGACTGCCTCTGAACCTCTCAACACATATACTGTACAGTGGTATGCACACTGCCATGCTAGATTACTGTCAAAACAGTATAGAGTACTAATAGATTAGTACGAAAATAAAAAGGTAGGCTCATGTCACCCTTAAAAATTGTACTTACATCAATAATTCTGTACTTCAAATAGCTTTTTGGTATCCTTAAGAAGTCTTTTCTTCTACACATTACTTCTACTTTGTAACCAATGATCAGCCACCAAATCAATAGCACACATTGCAAACCATGAAGCTTTGATGGTAGAAGCTACCTTTTCACCTTCAGGCTAATTGAGTGAATAGGGTTTCAGATTTATAGAATAAGGACTACTTGCTGTCTGTTACATATTCCATAACAGGAAATATATTCGTGTTAAACAATGTTGGCTTCGACACCATACTTACATTAGTTGTCGTAGTAGTCATCATTTCTTCCCCCAAAACAAGGTACTGGCTGTCGGGTATTGGTAGTCAGAAAAATGCTAGAACACAAGGAAAAGAAAGATTGCTTTTCCACTATAGAGTGGAAGAGGAAGGCAAAACACGCCATCAGTATTTTGAGGACTCTTCTTAATTATATCAGAGTAATTTTATTTTATCCAAATTACTGTTTTTTTAAAGTTAATCGATCCATAATTGTTACGTTAGCTGGAAACTAATGACTGATAAAAACACATCGCGCCCCACTTCCTGTAGTTTTACCAATTCTATACTGTATACTGTTTATTCTATACTGAACAGGCATCAACCTCAATAGAAATCAGACAAACTAAGACATGATTTGATCACTGAGTAGGTGCTGCCACGCAAAACACAAAAGCCCTTCCATTAAAACTAAAATTCTTATTATATCATATGAGAATACAATTATTTTAAAATCGGAGACGAAATAATCCTAATTTAGTATCTATTTTCTTTAACTGGGTATTTCAACGGACAAAAAAAATCTTCTCTGTTCTATAGAACATTTTTTTCTGGCGCAGTACTCCGCATATTATGACTGAGTGAAAACCCGTTCTCTTCAGCATCTTTATTAAGCTCCCGGAGTCAGATTTGTGCGTGCTGTAGAGTACAGTATGTCCCATAGTGTTAGGAGCCGCACAGCACAGCGCACATTGAACAAAGCCCACGTTTTTCATCCTCCTGGGCGGTCCACGCCTTGTATTACGAATGATTTAAGCTCCTCATTATGAAATACTATAGACATACAGGCAATTAGCACCCTTCTTCAGTACAATCGGATGGACAAAGAATTGCTTTGATAAAAACATTTGTTAAATAAAAAGTAGAGATAAAAAAAATAATTTCCTCGAAAAATTCTACACCTTTCACTCCAAACCCTCTAAAATTCTAAAATAACTTTTTTTTTTACGTGTCTACTCATTCTATCGGTAACGCCGCAAAAATGGTTTTAGATTTCCTAGCATGCAACTTGCAAAACGTATTCACAGGAGCAACAGTACTTACAACAGTTGTACTATATATATTGATGTACTTGCAGAACCCGGACGCTGGAGGAAGTGTACCTTCTCTGCTTTCTGTTTTTTTTTTTGTCTTATGAATATGCCCTTCGTATTGTGCGCTTTATATTGCTTTGTCAATCACATGACGCAAGCGATGTCCCAGCGTCGTTTATAGCTGAAACGCAAACACCATGGGTATTTTTTGTCTTTACCATTCATACCACAGGAGCTCTCGTCATGAAAGTGAAACCGAGATAAATTTGTCACGAAACATGCGTTTTTTCTATATTGTACCTTTTTATTCATTTTACCGCTTTTAAGTTTCAGATTTTGGCGCACTACTTATGCAATCTGTACTAGCGTTTGCAAACCACTTGACATTTTTATACGTATTTTTTGTTACATCTTTATGTTATAAATTGTGGAGTAAACCGCACAATACCACGACATCTAGCATGTACTATATGTAACTTAATTTTCCTGCAGGACAATTTTCCAGAATTTGTTATATGCAACAATATAGTTATTGCAATAAGTGTAATTGAGTCATTGAAATTGATGACTCCAGAAATACTTCGTCCACAACAGGACAATATGTCTGTTTTACAAAATCTGGAGCTAGATTGGACGTTATTTAATCTTATAAAAGCTACCATGGTTTGATACACGTGTTTTTAGATTTATTTCAATTGGGCACGTTATTTTAATTAACTGAACAACGTTATAAGATCCTTCTCTTTGCCCCCTACACGCGCGTTAAAAATACCAGATTTTTACTTCCATAAAAAAGTCCCTGTTCAACCAAGTGCGCCTGTGATTTTGCTTATGGTAAAGGAGGAGCGGTACAGCTTAACATACGATGTCCGAAATCCTCTAGTTTATCTCAGTTATGCTACGCCTGAAGTAACATACGATAAAACGAACGACAACACGGTAGAGATTTGCTTCTGGAGTATGCAGAGTGCAGTTTATGAAGCTCACGTGAAAAACACGAATCACTGTAGTATTTGTGCGCCTCCCCTGTTCCATCGTATTTTTCGCTCTCAACCACTCTTACATCATTATACGTACGTTGTAAAAGAAAACCTGAATTAGACCGTTTTTTTCCTGTGCCTTTGATCTTATGGAAAGAGTCTTTGTTAAGCCCTAAATGTTGAGAATGCTGTTTAAAGGATTGTCAGCCTTTTACCTGTAATATAAACACTGGCACTATCCATGGTAATATCGAAGTTTTACGGACTCCAAACCCATTATATAAAAGGTGGGTTTGTGCAAAACGTAAAGGTGCACTCGAAAATGAAATAAAATAGGTTAATCTTGGCAGTATATGTGTTGCGTGACACACCACAGCAACTTAAACTAAAAGAACAGAGTAACACAAAGTAAAAAAAAAATCAAGAACCTGTTGCTCAGACACTAACATTCTTAAGTGAAGTATTACTGTCGTTTCTCTACTTTAAGAGAACTCAACGTACAATTCTTAAAAGGTTTGTTGAGAAATTACCTAAAAATATGATTGTATTTGAAACAAATCTCTGGTAATCTATCAAGCAATGTACAACATCAGCACTTAGCCATCACATGAATGTGTAGAATATTAGATATTGCTGTTCTTCTCAGTACTTAAGTTCATTTTCATCTTTGCTATATCTCTTTAGGACTAATTGTTTAGGAATTTAGAATTTTAGGGGTTAAAACATTTTATTGCCCAAAGACTGTGACCATACTTTGATTAAATTTTAGGCTGATGTGGAAAACTCAGCTCCCTTTGCAGTACCTCAAGCAATTAGTAATGCAGGACTCCCTTGCTTAACCTCAATTAACCAACAGAGGGACTCAGATAGTCCAGAGGAAGTACGTTTTATCCTCGCTACTTTTGCTCAGTATTTCTTAAAGTAAAAATGCATTAACTGATCAATCAGATCTCAACAGAATTGGAATAGTTCTCAAATTTCAATCCTGGGAAAAGATAACAGTGCACCAGTTAAGGAATGTTGCCAATTCCTATTCCAATGTCACTGGGGATAAAAATGTTGTTGTTTTTTTTTTAAATACAGCAACTATTATACGAATGTTATATATTTCCAGTTAACCATTTTGGAAAACAATAGCATCCATCCATTCCCTAACCACTTTATCTAATACAGTGTCAGAGGGGAGCTTGAGCCTGTCCTGGCAAGCAACTGGAGCAAAGCAGGATACACAGTAGACGGGACACCAGTCTATTGCAAAGCAGGCACACACATACACCAGGGCCAATTTTCCCAGAAGCCAATAACCCACCAGTATATCTTTGGACTGTGGCAAGGAACCAGAGCACTTAAAGTAAGTGCAAACACTGGGATGTTATTTTACTTTTCAGTTATATTAAGAGCTAAAGTAGTGCCATCAAGTGCAGCATTTAACAGCTGATGCCCAAGATGTGTTTGAACCGTTTTTAATTACTAAAAGGTTCATGTCATTAGGCAACATCAAGGGTTTGCCTTTTTTAATTTGAAAAGATGCATTATTTCACAATTGTGGAATTCACACTCAACAGATTACGTGTATTGGTATTTGAGTACAGTATAGTTATCTCAAATAGCTTTTTCATATGGAAAACAGCAGGACGTTTACTTAAGGAACACATCCAGGCAGTGATTTATTTCTTTCATTGCTGTCAGACAATGTCCATGGGCTGTAGCTAACATGCACTATGCTTCTTGAAATGACAATGTGGCCTCAACTGCAGAGTCATCCTTGGTCAGAATATTATGCTAATAATAGTCTGCAAAGTCAAATGACAACAGTAGGTTCCTACTGACCATGCCACCACTAGTGAAAGAGCTTCCGCTGAGGCAAACTTTCACCAGGTTCGTCATTTTTTACAGCTAACACAGGGAAAATGATCAATTCCTTATAACACAATGGGCACTGCTCTATTATATTTGAAATACACTGTACTGTACCACAATGTGTATCATTCACACTTGTTTTACTGGCTCTTGCAGCAACTATTTAACCACTTTCTTGGCATTTTCACCTAACCTTAGGGATTTGTATCATAAATCAGGATGAGGACTGCTGCTCTTCCTAAGATACATGGATTGTGGTATAGTAATTAAAATTAAAATCATGCAGATGATACAAAAGTAATTTAAGCTGCAAATGCCGTTGTAATATTGAGAGAACTACAGTACATTTAGAATTGGGTAAATACTTGGCAAATGAAATTTAACACAGACAGGTACAAGATATTACATGCATTTGGAAAAATGTACAGTACATCTTGAAAATCAGATTGGCAATAATGGACTGAAAGAAGCTGTCTATGAGACGCTTATAGTACATACTGTAGGTCGATCTTTCGACTTGACATTTTCCTTTTCTACACATTTTGGTAGAAACCATAAAAATATGACAAAATGATTAGATATGTGGTTAAATGTATCATTCAAACTGATTTCAATAGCTCTTGACAGAAAATAGACAAGGCGGTTCACCATTCAGCCTGTTGGAATGATATAGACTGAGGCAGAATAGTTTCTATCTGCAGCTGGGTTTTTCCACAGAGGGAAGGAGTTGCCACACAATGGATATATATAACACAGGATGGGGGGGTGGGGTGGTGGTAGAACTAAATGGTCAGTCCTTGTGGACTGTCTGGTAGATGCAGTTGGTCACGACAAAGAAGATAGGACCCTACACGGTGCTTAGCCAAAGACTGAAGAGAGAATTAAAGTTGAGTGGAAGCCGGGTTTACTTAGCTAAGTTGCGTAGCCAATAATCATGGTCGAGAGAAAGCTTGGGTCAAGTAGTCAGGGTTTCACAAGACGATGGGTTTCTAGGCGTAGTTGTTTTTAGAAGGTAGCTTAGTGAGGTTTAACTCAGGTGGAGTTGAAGGCGATGAGCCCTTAAGTAGTGAGTTGCCTGGAGGATATGTGCAGGACGAGGGGCATGGTTTGGTAATTAGGTTGTGTGT